CCATCTCACCAACTTCTCTGGACAATCTACCTGCTCCTCTGCCAACTGCAGCCCCCTCGCACAGTTACAGCTCTCGCAGGTCCACTGTGCACGTCCCACTCAGCTCTTCTCCCTGTCAGGAAGCTGTGGTGTGTCCCGCACCACACCCTTTTGCCCAAACAGCTTTATTTGCAAAAGTTCATTGCAATTGGTAGTGGGTCTGGTTCACGGCCACTGGACCACCATCAATACAGGACCCTCACTGAGACTCCTCTCACATACCCTGCTGTTGCCCAGAGTCGTGGAGCTCCTGTGACTAAGGTTCCACAGGACCGGCCCTCTCCTACAGTCCAGCAGCTCAAAGATGGGGTAGATGTTGGCTTGGGCCAACAGCAGCCAGTGAGGGGGCCAGCTCAGATGCCAACCTGGCTTCAGACAGCAGCCCAGACCATGGACATCCTCGTGGCCTTTGGTGGTAACAAGGGCCACTGGCCCTGGCTATAGTAGGACCACAGACCCATACATGGCCCTCACTGGCAGCAGAGGCCTGGACATCATCACAGCCTCAGGTGGCAGTGAAGGCCTCTCACATCAGCCTGTTCCTCACCAGCTCTGCCTCTCTCCACAGAACACAAACTGCCCTGCTGCTCTTTCTCTTTGAGATTGTATCATTTCTTCCCTCTCCTCACTCCAAACCCTCGCATGTGTCCCCCTTGTTCTCTTTCAAATGTATAAGCTTTCTCTTACTTGTTGTTACACACATATTTAACCTGATGATTCTGTATAATGCTACTTGCATATAAATGATTTCAGGGTTGATCACTTGGTAATGAATAAACAATTGGTGTGTACTCCATCTGTTGTCAAGAATTTTCTTGGTGAGGGGTGAGATCTACACTTACCTGTGTAGTCCCTGGGGAATGATGTCTGACCCTCTTGATTTGTACAATTTTGGAGGTCTTCTGGTCAAAAGAATGGTGAGTCGTTTTTTGCAGGTCACCTCATACTGCTCACAAAAGGAACACACTGGGCTTTTAACAAAGGGACTCAATGGATATTAATTTGTTGTTGTTCCTATCATGCCAGGCTTGGATATCCAAGCATGATGGCTCACCTGTAATCCCATAACTCATGATGCCGAGGCAAGGGTATCAGTGGTTGGGCTGGAGAGATGTCTCAGTGGTTAAGAGCACTGGTTGCTCTTCCAATGGACCCGGGTTCAATTCCCAGCACCCATATGGCAGCTCTCCAGTTCCAGGAGATCTGACACCCTCACATAGACAAATGTGAACATAAAGTAAAAAGCAGGGCATTGGTGGTGCACGCCTTTAATCCCAGCACTTGGGAGGCAGAGGCAGGTGGATCTCTGTGAGTTCGAGGTCAGCCTACTCTACAGAGCTAGTTCCAGGACAGCCTCCAAAACAATACAGAGAAACCCTGTCTTGAAAAACAAACAAACAAAAAAATAGTGTACGTGGTAGCAGGGATTGAGACACAGGCCTCTGAAGCCTGATAAGTTCCTTTAATCTTTTAGGGACCTCCACTCAGGTAAAACCAGGTCATTGGTTTCAAAACAGAAAAAAGTTTCAGGACTAGCCAATATGAAGCAGAGTTGAGGTTTATTAAAGATAATTTACTGTTGTGAGATATTACACTGTCACTGTGATTGGTTTAATAAAAAGTTGAATGGCCAATAGCTAGGCAGGATTTTCCAGGACAGAGAGTGCTGGGAAGAAAAAGGCAGAGAAGGGAAGAGACACGGTGGACACAGGAAATCAGGATGGACAGTACATGAATGAGGTAAACGAGCCTGGGGGCAGCACATAGACTGATAGAAATGGGTTAATTTAAGTTATAAAAGCTAGCTAAAAACAAGCCTAAGCTATTGGCCAAACTTTCATAGTTAATAATAAGTCTCTGTGTCATTATGGGGGAGTCAACAGTCCTGACCAAAAAGTCAGTCTACAATTTACAGTCAGTGAGACAGCTCAGAGGGTAACGGTACTTGCTGCTGAGCCTGATGGCCTAACTTAAGTCCCCAGAACCCACACAGTAGGAGAGAACTAATTCCATGAAGTTGTGCTCTGACCTCTGTGGCGCCAGCACCACAAGCAACTCCAAGGTATTAGGAAAAGAGAGACAAGATGTCCACTTGTTTGTACTAAGAGAATGCATGTGCTGCCTTTATTGCCAGGAGAGTGTGTGTGTGTCTTCATTGCAAGTGTTAACAGGTCTCTCTTGTAGGAGGGAGGAACTTTATATACAGGTTTACAGCACAGTGGAAAAACCCCTCCTGCTAGATGTTGATGTCAGAGGGTCAAGGCCAGGGCAGTAAGACAGGACTAGAAAACAGAAAGCACTTGGACTGGAAAACAAGTTGCACTTGTAGGCTGACCAGCAACTCACAGAGACCCCATGGGGCTGGGGCCCAACAGACCTCCAGATGCATAATTTGCCCAGGCATGTGCACCCCTGTAGTTTTACTTTCTCCTTGGATTTTCCTGGACCACCAGCCCACAAATAATGAAACGGGGGATTTTAATTATGAAAGCTTGGTCTTTAGCTTAGGCTTGTTTCCAACTAGCTCTTACAACTCAAATTAATTTGCTTCTATCAATCTACATTCTTCTACGTGGCTTGGTTACCTCTTCTCTGTAGGCTACTGGCTCCACAATAATGACATGGAAACTTATTATTAATTATTAACTATAATAGCTTAGGCTTGTTTCTAACTAGTGCTTGTAACTTAAATTAACCCATTTCCTTTCATCTGTTTTCTTTTACATGGCTTGGTTACCTTTACTGTAACTCTCCATGCTGCTTCCTATTAGTCTCCTGGCATCTCTCTGCCTCCCAGCCCTTCTTCCCAGTATCCAGTATCCTCTCTGCCCTGAAAATGGTATTGGCTATTGACTATTCATCTTTTTACTTCTTTTTTTTTTTTTGGTTTTATGAGACAAGGTTTCTCTGTATTGTTTTGGAGGCTGTTGGTCCAGCCTGGCCTCAAACTCACAGAGATCCGCCTGCCTCTGCCTCCTGAGTGCTGGGATTAAAGGCTATTCATCTTTTTATTAAACCAACCCCAGTGACAAGTCTTCATGGTGTACAAAAAGATAATTCCTCTGTACTGTATGTGTGACTTGTTCCTCGTCTTGCTGGTGTCTCCTCCTCCCTTCTTCCCAGAGTCCTCTCTCACCCCAGAAGCCCTACCTATTCTCTCCTGCCTAGCTACTGGCCATTTAGCTATTTATTAAACCAATCAGAAGGTGCTTTAGGAAAAGACACATCTTTACAGTGTAAACACATATTCTGAAACATACCCCAGCTACAGACATTCATATACACCATAAATAAATACATTTTAACAACAAGATTTTATTTAAAGGTTTGTCTTATGTGTACTTGCTTTTTCTGTGTACCATATATACTTGATTTTATATGTACCATATGTACCCATGTGCCCTCAAAAGCCAGATGAACTGGAGTTACAGGCAGTTCTGAGTCACCTGATGTGGGTGCTGGGAATCAACCTGTCCTCTGCAAGAGCAGTTATAGCTCTTAACTGCTGAGCCATCGCTCTAGCCCCACAGCAAATGTTTGTGCTGTTCTGGCTTCTCAGTTGGCAAGAAGCTTCAAACAGTACACCTTCCCTTCTCCTCTAATAATTTTCCTCTTTCTATCCTGTCTTAGCAAGATAATCACAAGTTTAAAGCCAGCCTGAGTTACATAGCGAGATCTTAGATCCCCCAACTTTTGCACCCCGCCCAATTTTCCAGGGTGCAAGAACAGAGAGGATATACATACTTAACGAAACATACTTGGGGCCTGGCTACATTCCCAAGCAGGGCTTCCATAGCAAGCTGCCCACAAGAGACAGCAGTTTAGCTGCTCTGGGAAGAGGGAGTCCCCCACACTTTCTCAATAGGAATGACAAACACCTCCAGGCTTTTTTCTCATTGGTCTGACCTAAGCAGCCTGTATCCATGAGCTGGGCAAAGCCAGGCTCCCAGGCTCACTCTGTACTAGGAGGTGGGGTCAGCCTTATCTGAACCAAAGGGAGTAGGAATGAGGAAGGGGCAATTCTCAAGGCCATCAGGACGATACTGTCAGAAGAAGGGCATGTGGAAGAGTGGGTCCTGGGCTCAGAACAAGCCAATATGAAGAGTCTGGGCTGCTCCCCGCCTTGCTAGGGAGGGATAGATTTTGTTGTTTGAAATGGGATTTCATATACTCCAGAGTGACCTCAAATTCTCTATACAGTTAAAGATGACCTTGAGTTCTTTTTTAATGTTTTATTATTTTGTGTGTATGCATATTTTGCTTGCAGATATGTCTGTGTATCCTTGCATGTCTGGTGCCTAAGTAGGCCAGAAGAAGACCCCCTAGAACTAGAGTTATAGGTGTTTGTGAGCTACCATATGGGTACTGGGAATTGAACCCAGGTCCTCTGGAAGAGCAGCCAATGCTCTCAACTACTGAACTGTCTTTCCAGCCCAAGCCTTTCAATTCTTGATCCTTCCCCCAGTGCTGGGAAGCATCTGCCACCTGCCTTTGCAGGGACCTTTATCCCTACCCATCTTTTTCCATTCCTTCCCAGCATCTAGAATCGGGAAGCAAGGTCTTGAGAGTCACCTATGCACAGGAAGGCAAAGGCTTGCCGAAGGAAACCATTCTAGGCAGCTGATTGCTAGGCAGGGGCTGGGGAAGCGACTCTCGAGGACATAACTCAGGAAGGACCACTTTTGGTTTCAGCACAGCACGGTCATGGATCGCTAATGAAAAGGCCTCCCAAGGGGCAGGACACTGCGCCTGGAGTTCCATTTAGTCACCCGTCACCAGTACTTCCCTCGCTGTGGTGCTGTGGTGACCTTTGAGGGGAAGAGGGAGATGACACATCCTAGTGCTCAGCTCTCTGCGGAACCCTCTGTTGCCAAGGAAGCCTTGCCTATGCTTTGCTCTGCTTTCCTTAAGTCACACACATTTCCAGGAAGCTCGCTGAGGACAGGAAGTATAAACAGCAAACAATGGGCTGTGGAGGCGGAGGCTGGGACCTCAGCTCCTAGATTCTCCCAAAGCCTGTTACTTTTGTGGCCTTTACCAAGGTGGCCTGTTTTTTTCTGCACCCCAGTTTCCCTGTCTATAAAATGAAAATCCCCTCTTTGCCAGAGCTATCATCATGACTGAAGTTACACATGGATAGTGGTCACTAGTGAGCTCAGGAAAGGTAAGTCCCCTTGTTCTTGTCCTTTGAGAGCAGCCAGCAAGGGTGAAGGAACACGCACCCAGAGTCCTGGCTGGGTTGGAGCAATGTGAAGACTGCCCGTTCCCAGGGGCCAGCAACTCACAGACCCAACACAAGAGGATGCCTTTGGCCAACCCTGCACCTTGGATGGTGCCAAGAGGGTAGGGATGGACCTGGGAGCACTTGAGCTAGGCAAATGGACAGGTGACCACGACCAAAGTACTCTAAAAATTGTCCATCCAGTCTCCTGGCTTTCTAACTGGGGGAAACCGAGACTCAATAAGAGGAGAGGACAGTAAAGTCAAAGTTGTAAAGCCAAGGAGACTCAGCGTCTGCCAGTCTCAGCGTGTTCTTCTCTTTTGTGTGTGTGTGTGTGTGTGTGTGTGTGTGTGAGAGAGAGAGAGAGAGTATGTGTGGTATGTGTGTGTATGTATGTGTGTGTGTATGTGTGTGTGAGAGAGTATGTGGTATGTGTGTGTATATGTATGTGTGTGTATGTGTGTGTGTGGTGTGTGTGAGTGTGTATGTGTGGTGTGTGTGTATGTGTGTGTGGTGTGTGAGTGTGTATGTGTGGTATGTGTGTGTATGTATGTGTGTGGTATGTGTGTATAAGTGTGTATGTGTGTGTATGTGAGTATGTGTGTGGTGTGTGTGTATGTGGTGTGTGAGTGTGTATAAGTGTGTATGTGAGTGTGTGTATGTGTGTGTGCATGATCCTGTATGTGCATATATAATATGGAGGTCAGAGATCAACCTCTATGTCTTTAGTCCCGTCTACCTTGTTGGGTTTTTTATTTTGTCTCTCCACCTTCCCCACTATGTGTGTATGTGCCACGTATGTGTGGGTGCTTGTGGAGGACCAAAGAGGGGTCAGATCTCCTAGAGCTGGAGTTGCAGGTGGTTGTAAGCCACCCAGCATGGGTACTGGGAACCAAATTCAGGTTCTTTGCAGGTGCAGTAAACACTGAGCATCTCTCCAGCCTCTTGAATTTGATTTTTTTTTTTTTGAGACAGGGTTTCTCTGTGGCTTTAGAGGCTGTCCTGGAACTAGCTCTTGTAGACCAGGCTGGCCTCCAACTCACAGAGATCCGCCTGCCTCTGCCTCCCAAGTGCTGGGATTAAAGGCGTGCGCCACCAAAGCCTGGCCTTGAATTTGATCATTAGGACAGGTCTCTCATTGAGTCTGGACTTCATCCATTAGGCTAAGCTACATGACCAGTGGGCCTCCGGATAGGTGGCACCAGGCCCTGTGGGAGTTTTTTTGTTTCGTTTTGTTTCTTGCTTTTGTATTTGGTTTAGATGTGGCTTATGAGGACACAGCTCAAGTCCTCATGCTTGTACTGTAAGCACTGAACTGTCCCCAGCCCTAACATGCTCTCATCTTATTCTTCACTGACCCAGCCCTCCATGCCCCAATTCTGTCTCCTGTTCTCATTCAGCAAAGACTCTTTGAACACCTACTACATGGCAGGTCCTGTGCTAGGCGACTGAAAACATCTGTTTAAGAAAAATCCAAGGTCATGCTTGGCTACATAGGAATTTGAGGCTGGACTAGATGACATAAAACCCTGTCTTAAAAATACAAAATAGGCCGGGAGGTAGTGGTACACACTTTCAATTCCAGCACTTGAGAGGTAGAGGCAGTGGATCTCTGTGAGTTAGTGGCCAGCCTGGTCTACAGAGCTGGTTCTAGGACAACCATGGTCATACAAAGAAATCCTGTCTCAAAAACAAACAAAACTAGTAGGGGCTGGAACAATGCCTCAGCAGTTAAGAGCACTTGCTGCACTTACAGAGGACTCAATGCCCTCTTCTGGCTTCCCCAGGTACTAGGTATGAACATGGTGCACGGACATACAAACACGAAAAAACCCATGAACATAGTTAATCATTATTTATTTATTTATTTATTTATTTATTTATTTATTTATCTATTTATTGAGACAGGGACTCACTATGTGGCTCTTGCTGTCCTGGAACTCACTCTCAAACTCACAGAGATCTGGGGTTAGAGGTGTGCATTACCACATCCAACTAAAATAACTTTTAGGGCTGGAGAGATGGCTCAGAGGTTAAGAGCACTGGCTGCTCTTCCAGAGGTCCTGAGTTCAATTCCCAGAACCCACATGGTGGCTCACAACCATCTGTAATGAGATTTGGTGCCCTCTTCTGGTGTGCAGGGATACATGCAGGCAGAACACTGTACACATAATAAATAAATCTTTAAAAAATAATTTTTAGTAGAGTTTTGTTGGGTGTTATTTTTGTTTTTAATTTTTTTTGGGGGGTGATACTGGGTCTCCTGCAGCATAGACTGGCCTGTCTCTTCCAACTTGCTATGCAGTTGACAATGACCTAGAACTTACTTATTTTGGTTTTGTTAAACAGGGTTTTTCTGTATAGCTGACTGTCCTAGAACTCAACTGACCTTGAACTCTGGATCCTCCTGCCTGCATTTCCCAACTACCAGGATTGACTGTGGTGCTGGAGACTTGCCCCTGGGCCCTGAGCACGCCAGGTAAGCACTCCATCACTGAGGTAAAGTCCCAGCCAATATCTGCACAAGAGCATACAGTTTTAGCCACTGGACATTTGAACAAAGAAAGAAAGGAGAAGCACTGGGTGGCAGACAGAGGAGAGGAATGTACTCCAGGCCCAGGTGGGATGAATGTGGAGGGAGCAGTAGACCAGGACTGGTCCAAGAGCCAAACAGTCAAGCTTTATTAGACATGCTTACGTTCTGCAGACCCAAACCACCAAGGTGAAAAGGACCCTGTGGAGGAGGCATGGTGGGCTCACCTGCAATCCTGGCACTCAGGGACGTGGCAAGAGGATGGACAGCCATAAAGTCAAGTACAGCCTACGCTACACTCAAGATCCTGACTCAAAGAAACAGCAGGAGCAGAGGCGTCAGCCCCACCCGCTCTCCAGGTGAGCAGAGGCTGCGTGGGTGGAAACAAGAGCTGCCTCTGATTCTCAGGTGGCCAAGTGAGGCCCAGCAAGGACAGACACCTGGAAATACTTAGCCATTCCCACTCTCAGTCATCAGCTGGCCCTTAGGAGTCATAAGCAACTGAGGCATTGTGACAGCTTTGTTTTGGGCTATGTGCTGGTGTCATTTGTTTCTTTAATAGCTTTCTCTGTTGTTGGGTTTTGGTTTTATGATTATTGTTTTTCTTCCTTTCTTTTCTTAAATTTTTTAATTTACTTGTTGTTTTGGTTTGGTTTTCTTTTCTTTTTTTTTTCTTTTTCTTTTTCTTTTTTTTTGGTTTTTCGAGACAGGGTTTCTCTGTGGCTTTGGAGGCTGTCCTGGAACTCACTTTGTAGACCAGGCTGGCCTCGAACTCACAGAGATCCGCCTGCCTCTGCCTCCTGAGTGCTGGGATTAAAGGCGTGCGCCACCAACGCCCGGCTTGGTTTGGTTTTCAAGACAGGGTTTCTCTGTGTAGCCCTGGCTGTCCTGGAATTCACTCTGTAGACCAGGCTGGCCTCACACTCAAGAGTGCTGATATTAAAGGTGTACACTGCCACCACCGTGATGGTTCTTTTTAAAGACAGGATCTACATAGACTTCCATTGTCCTGGAACTCCCTGTGTAGACTGGATTGACCTTGAACTCACAGACATCTTTCTGACTCTGCCTCTCAAGCACTGGGCCTAAAGGTGTGGGCCACCATCCCTAGCATCCTGTTTTTAGGCAGGGTCTCACGCTATAGCCCAAGCTAGTCTAGAACTCACTATGTAGCTCAAACTGGCCCCAAACTGGTGTCAATCCTCCTGCCTTGGCCTTCTGACTGATAGATTACAGGTATGAGAGATACTGACCCTCTACAGACTTGTTCTAAAGACAGCCATGGACGACAGCTGAAGTGAGCAAACGTGGTTGCTGGCAGCACTGAGTTCCAAGTACTCTCAATGCCTCCGTCTTAGGGAGGCCTATGCCTGCCAGTGACTGGCTGTGAGGGAGTAATCGCTCCCTTGGTCACCGGCTAGTGGGATGAGGCGCTGCTGGGCTGCCCACATGAGGCAGCTGGTGGAGACCTGGAATGAAGACGTCTAAGTGCTCTGACCGTCTTCCGAAGCACTTGACAGAGCCCTGCGTGGTGCACACACCCGCTGGGCAGTAAGGAGCAAACACTGCGGACAGGGTTTGCCCTTGGATATTGGAGACTCCCTCTGACATGAGTGGGAGTCTTTAAGCAGGCCAGGGCAAACTAGTGTGTACACAGTTACTATTTCAATATTTAGGTTACACATTATACCTTCAAGTTCTTTGCTATTTAACAGGACAAAACCTGTATTTGAGTATGCTGCCACCAAGTGCTGGCTGGTGCTCTGTTATGGGCATGAGACATGAAAAATAAGACTAGCATCTCATGCCTTACAAGAGAGAAAATCAGGGTTTCCTTCCTTTCTCATCACTCTCTTATTTTGGTAGTGCTGGTGGCTGAATAGAAGGCCTTGATCTAGGAACTCCACCTCTGTGCAAGCCTGTTCCCAGGCCCTGGAGCTTTGAATAAACTAGTATGAGCATTAGAGTTGTCCCACCCAAGTACTAAACCAGGCCTGCTTAGTTTCCGAGTTCAGATGTTCATATGTAGATAGCATTATAGTTCTAAGATGAATCAAATAGAAAATTTATCTAGGGATGCCTTAAAAATAAATGTTTAGATATTAAAAATGAGTAAAAATATTTCAATATAATTCTAATGCTTAATGATTAACAATGTCCTTTTTCTTAAATGATTGATTTATTTTTATTTTATGCTCATTGGAGTTTTGCCTACATGCAGTGCCAGGGTGTTGGGTTCCCGTGGAACTGGAGTTACAGACAGTTGCGACCTGGCCATGTGGGTGCTTGGAATTGAACTTGGGTCCTCTGGAAGAGCAGACAGTGCTCTTAACCACAGAGCGATCTCCCCAGCCCCGGCTATTTTCATTTATACATTTATACATATATGGCTTTCATTTTTATTCCAGAATAAAAAGTTTGGTTATGGTCACTCTAACTTCAAAGGTGACCATAGCCAGGTATTGATGATGCACGCATTTAATCCCAGCACTCGGGAGGCAGAGGCAGATGGATTTCTGTGAGTTGGAGGTCAGCCTGGTCTACAGAGTGAGTTCCAGGATAGCCTGCAAAACAATACAGAGAAACCTTGTAGAGAAAACAAAACAAAACAACAAAAAAAAAAAGCGACACCTGCTTTACTTATTTATAGTTTGGGGAGGAAGTCTTACTCTGTCATCCTGCTGTCCTGAAGTCCTGGTTCAAGACCCCTGCTAGCCTCAACAGGCCCTTGAACTGCTGATTCATGACACTCTAGCCTCAGCAAGTACCAGCCAGCACATCAATCAAGTCAAGCTAAGTTGTTTTCTTTGAGGCAACTGAGCCCTGCACAGCGTCTCAGGAGCTCAGCCTTAGGTTACAATCCATTAAGGACTCCCTTCTCTTCAAAGGCAGCTTTCACAACTGTGGGGATTTGTTTAGATTGTTTTGTGTTTTGAGACTAAGTCGCCAATAGTAGCTCTTCATTCTCTAAGTGAAGAGGATGGACCTTGAACTCCTGATCTGCATTCACCTCCAGAGAGCTGGGATTGGGGGCATGCATTGCCCACATTCTGCTCGACTATAACAATTAACATTTTAATTTCATTTTTCTTGCAGAGGACCCCCGCCCCCCCCACATACAAATTCTTTAATATATATATGGCCACAATTAACTAGAACCCCAGCTCTATATAGCTTCTTCCTGGTTCTCTAGGGTATTTCTCAAGGGTTCTCAGAACACCCTCTTCTCCTTTTGTTGAGGTAAAGAAAGGGCAGCCTGGGCTAGACCCCCAACCTTGATCTTTTTTTTTTTTTAATTATTTGGTAAGTTCACACATGTATATATACTGTATTGAATTCCTATCATCCTCATACCTGCCCCCTCCATCTCCTCCCAGACACCCCTTCCCAGTCCTTAAAAGCAACTCTAGGTCTGGAAGTGTAGCTTGGTTGTTAAGAGTGCTTGACTAGCATACATGAGGCCCTGGGTTTGACCCCCAGCACTCCGTGAGCCTTGAGTGGTAGTGCTACACACCTGCAATCCCAGATTTGGGAAGTGAAGGCAAGAGGGTCCAGGAGCTCACGGCCAGCATGGATATAAGAGACCCTTTCTCACAAAACAAAAAGGGGGATGGAGGGATGTTACACCAGTTAACAACACTGACTGCTCCATTCCCAGCACCTGACTGGTGGATCACAACTGACCATGACTCCAGTTCCAAGGGGTTCCAATGCCCTCTTCTGGCCCCCAAGGGCACCAGGCATTCACGTGGTACCCAGACAAACATGCAAGCAAACACACACACACACACACGTGTGGAACAGTAAATTAAAACAAAGCAAACCTCACAAAAACAAGAGGCAGGGCATAGTGGACCAGCCTGTAATCCCAGCACTTGGGAAGTGGAAGGAGGACCAAGAGTTCAGCTACACAGTGAGCATAAGGCCAGCCTTAAGGTCATTTCAACAAATCAAAAAAGGTAAGGTGGGGGGAGGGCTAAGAGGAGAAGCTAACTCTGGGCCAGTGAGGAGGCTCAGCAGTGAAAGCACTTGCTGGAGAAGTCTGATGATCTGAGCTTCCTGCCTGGAGCCCACAGTGAGGAGAGAATCTGCTCCATAAAGTTGTCCCCTGACCCCATCCACACACCCCCACAGTTTACACGCAATAATAATTTTTTTGGTGACAGGGTCTTGAAAGAAGTAAAATGGGAAAAATTAATAAAAGTCTAAAAGTTGGACTCCAAAGCCCAAATAGAAAAACTCTTAAGCCTCTCTGAGTTCCCAAAAAGGCAGCTGAACAGATAGATAAGGCTAAACAAAGAACCAGGTACTGAGAGACCTGGGAACAGATAACACCCCCAAGCTGTGTCAACATTTCTCTGTCCTAAAGAAGATCAGATGGCTGTCAATTTGTAGTTGTAAAAGTCCCTGCCTAGGAGATAATTAACAAACTTCCTCTACAGCATCCTGCTTTAATTGCATCCTGCTTAAACATAGTCATTGTTTCATCCTATGTAACCATGAAAACTTTGTAATCTCAAGACAGTCAGTCTTTTGAACCTTTCCTTTAAAAATCCCCCTTAGCCAAAAAGCAGCACTCTGCTTGTTCCCAAAAGGGCAGGGTCCGAGTGCTTCCTCAGTGGTGGATTTTTTGGGTTCTGCCATCTGGGCATAGCAGTCTCACTATATGTAGCCCTGGCTGTCCTGGAACTGGATATGTAGACCAGGCTGGCCTCATCTACTTGCCTCTACTTCCAGGTGCTGGGATTAAAAATGTGTGTCACCAATTACAGGATGGTGCATGCTTTAATCCCAGCACTCAGGAGGTAGAGGCAGGTGGATCTTCGAGGCCAGCCTGGTCTAAAGAGAGCGTTCCAGGACAGCCAAGGATACACAGAAAAACCATGTCTCAAAAAACAAAACAAAAAAGAACTAACTCTTGGGCAAAGTCATTTACTGAGTGAATTTTAACGGAACCCACCTATTACAAGACAGCAGGTGGGTTTCAATGTTTGTTTGTTGAGACAGGTTCTCTCTGCATAACACGGACTGTCCTGGAACTTCTTATGTACACCAAGTTGGCCTTGAATTCAGAGATCTGCCAGTCTCTGCCTCCCTAGTGCTGGGCTTAAAGCCGTGTGCCACCACTGCCCCGATCGCCCGACCAGTTTTATCCGAACGTTGTGACTCAGCTTCTCAACCGGATAGCTTCCCGGCAATCCTTTGTGCAGGTCTGATCGCTGCATTGCGGGAGGCTTAGAGCTTTAAATGACTGTGACTATTGTGTCACTGAAACAACCCAATTTGCCCTTACTGCATGTACATTTCGAAACGGCCCCTAGGGGGCATCGTCACCCTCGATACACACAGCCATTTCCGACTGTGTCCTGGACCAGACTCAACCCGTTCTCTGTCACCGGCTGATGTAGATAATGCAAGTCACAAGATGAGCGGAAACCCGGCCATTTTACAGTCCCCGGATGATCCGTCAGTCCCTTGTGGAACTAAGTTCGGACTCCTGGCTCAGAATCTCTTCGCGAGTTCTCCCTACCTAAACGAGATACAGCTCGAGATGTCAGCTTCCCGTCCCCGATCGAGGCCTTGGAGTCTGAGGGTTTGGGACTTCACCCAAGTCCCCTCCAACCCTCAGACATTC